GGGGTTGTTTTCTTTTTGTGGACTTGGTCACTCAGGTGAATTACATTGGGAGTACTTGGATGACATTGCAGGTGACTTTAAGCATTGTCCATGGTACGGGACTGAACCACTGTGCCGGAATGGAGCTATCACTGTTCAGCTGTGGGCTACAAGCAGCCATTGTGGGAGACATGCCCTGCAGGCTCTGCCCACAGGGTCACAGTGTGAAGCCCAGACTGGGAGACCTTGGGAGAGTGATCTAGTGACTGTCAACAGTGCCAAAGGGAGGGATGGAGATGGAGGGAAACATTGGACTTTCAGTACTTGGCAGGAGAGCTGCACTGCAGCTTCAGCCCTCAGGGGCATCAAGTAAGGCAGGTTTTGACACACCTGATAAATGGGCAGCCACTTCAGGAGAGAGCCCAGAGACAGGGGCTTTCCTGGGAAAACCTCTGCTTAGCCAAGGTTAATGGTTTAAAGTGTCTTCTAAGTGGGGTGAGGAGAGATTCAGGCTCTGAACCCTGTGGGCTTTGAGGGCAAAGAAGTCAGCAGAGGCCTCCAGTTTCCATCTTATACAACTGTATCAGCATTGTGATAAGCATCTCATACCCCAGAAGATCACCTGTTGCCAAGACAACATTCAGAAAGATACATATACTGCTTTGTCTTCGGATTTGGGTTTTTTTCCTCCTGTTTTTAATTTCAACTTTTTCCACCTAGATTTTTCTTTTATTTCTCTTTCATTTCTTTTCTTTTTTTTCTTTTCTTTTCTTTCTTTCCTTCTTTCTTTTTCTCTTTCTTTCTTTCTTTTTCTTTTTTTCTTTTTGAGACAGAGTCTCACTATTTAGCCCTCAGTAGAGTTCTGAGGCATCAAAGCTTACAGAAACCGTATTCTCCTGGGCTCAAGTGATCCTCTTGCCTCAACCTCCCAAGCAGCTGGGACTACAGGAGCCCGCCAAAACACACGGCTATTTTTTTTTTTTTTATTGCAGTTGTCATTATTGTTTAGCAGGCCCTGGCCAACCTCAAACCCACCAACCCTGGTGTATTTGGCTGGCACCGTAACAACTGAGCTATGAGTGCCGAGTCTCACTTTTGTTTTCTTCATCATTTTAATAGTGTAAACTTGGTTCTCCATTGTTGCCTTCTTTAATAATGAAAACTTCATTTTTGCTAGTGTTTCTGCCCATGTTATTCGGTTTTACTCCTAATTTTTTCCTCATTTAAATTCCTTATATCTTTGTTTAAATAATGTTTAAAAGATCTGTCCAACTCCATAAAATAAGTTTTAAAGTACCTGTTTTTGTAGTGTTATAGGATATCAGCTTGTTCAGACTATTTAAGTTCTGTTTCAAGAATCTGGGAGCATTTATGTAGGGTGCATAAGTATTTAGAATTGAAATGTCTTCTTGTTGTATTTTTCCTTTCACCAATATGAATTATCCATCTTTGTCATTTTTCACTTTCGTTGCTTTAAAAACACTTGTATCTGAAAATGAGATTTCAACCCCTCTTTTCTTCTGAATTCTGTTTGCCTGAAAATTTGTCTTCCAACCCTTTTAATCTGTCTTTCTAGACTCGGTATGTTCTCTGCAGACAGCAAATGGATGGCTCATGTTTCTTTTTGTTTGTTTTTTGTCTGATCATGCAGTCTATGCCTCTTCTGTGGGGGAATTCAAGCCATTAACATTTGTTAAGAAAATTGATGAGTATGGTAGGGTTCTATTCATCTTATCATGTGGAAGTTCATTGCTTAATTTTATCTTTTGCATATGTTTGTGGAAGCTCGGGTTCTGTCCTTTTATATCTGGGTGCTTACTTTGTTGGTGGTCCATTGTGATGGTCAGAGTGTAGAACAGGTTGAAGTATTTCCTGTAGAGCCGATTGTGTTGTGGCAAATTTCCTCAGTGTCCACATATCAGGAAAAGATTTGATTTCTCCATCAATTTTAAAGCTTAGCTTAGCAGGATATAGAATTCTGGGCTGGAAAGTGTTCTGTTTAAGTGGATTAAAGGTAGATAAGCTTTGTCTTCTGGCCTGAAAAGTTTCATATGAAAATTCTGCAGTGACCCGGGTGGATTTGCCCCTGTAGGTCAATTGGTGCATCCTCCTTGCAGCTGGTTGAATCTTTTCTTGTGTCTTGATTTTGGGCAGGTTCATCACAATGCATCTTAGAGAAGTGTTATTTGAGTCGAGGTGACCAGCGGTCCAATGTCCCTGTGAAAGAGGTGTGTCAG